GCAAATGTATGATTAAGGAGAAAAAAGGAAAAAAAAAAAAAGCAAAGTTATATATTTTCTTTCAAAGCTCTTTACTTTTACATACATTGTTGTAGCGAAAATGTAAAACATTATAAAACTGTACATTTCTTTGCTATGGATCGCTTCTTTTTGTATACAAGATAAAGAGTAATGGTTTTAAAAAGTGCAATCAGGCAGTCATCGGTCATATTGACCACGCCTTCACAGTTCATCACACCGACATGGAAATCAAGAACTTTTAATCCAACTAGAAGTGTATAAAAGTAAGAAAAACTTTTTCCTGTCTGTTTTTGTTGGCATGCTTGTGACACATGGGACCTTCCTTCGGACCTGACAGTAACAGCTGGTTAATTTTCCAGCTCTGGTTATGTTGTATTTTATTGATGTATAGATCCAACGTAAAGACCCTTCATAAATTGTTCATATTAAGTAATCAGTATGAATTTTAAACAAAAGAGGTGTTATTTTAAAACTGGGACTTATAGTACAAAATCAGGAAAATACTCAAGTATAAATGGTCTCAAAGTTTAAGAAACAAGACAACAGCATTGTATGCAATTTAGTACTGAGTAAAATGCATGCACAATGTTATGCAAAACAATTCTAGCATGAAAATAAATTTTGTATCATGGTTTCAGTGCCTGCTGTATAGTGTAAAGGGGAATCCTTTTCTGAAGCAATCAGGGGTTTCCAGAGACTTGCTTCTAAAATCTTGAATAAATACAGTGTTCTCAACAGAAATGTAGGAGAAAAGCTTGGTATTGCTTTGGTTCTACAATGCTAATTTTGGTTAGTAGATAATAAATGAAGCCTGCAAACACTTGATACAACCGATGTCTAAAGAATTCACACCATTAGTAATTTTACAAGGGAAGATTAAAAACCCCTATAATGATCTAGGTATCTTCCTTTTCCCTCCCCAACAATAATAAATGTTTGTCTTTTTAGCTGATTAAATGAATTCAGTTTTTCTTACTTCTTCGGGCCCCGTCCTTCACTTGTCCATCACTGAGCCACACCAGTGCACCTAATCTGAACCTGAAAGAAATCCAGGTGTCCGAGTCACACTTGATTTGCCACACAAAACATGCACCATTAAGAACTGAGAAACACAATGGGATTAAGTTTTATTTTAGATGACAACTATGGACTATGTGCCAACAGCATTCTAGTTGCCTGAGCATTTTTGGTAAAGTACTTCTATAAAGGAAAGATACACACCTTTATCCTCACATGAGGAACTTCAAAAGAGCTGGCAATCTTCTAGGCAAGCTACAGCATCTGCAACTACTGATGGGAATGGAAATGTAAAGAAATAGTATCCCTACAGTCTGGAGGAAATAGAGATTAAACCCAAAAAAAACCCAGAAGAAACACTCTTGGCTCTGGTAAGTGCTAAATTATACACAAAAAAACCCAACTGCAGCTGGACCTTGTCATCACAAAACTCTACTCCAAGAGAAACACAAGGAAGACCTCAAGCTGTACATAATTAGAGAACTCCCTTGTAGTCCTTGATACAGCATTATGTTCTTGATTTCTGCTTTAGTTTCTCCCAAGAACTATTTTTCTCACACTGTTTCTATACTGTAATTCTCAGAAGATAAATTTCTTACCTCCAGAGGTAAGATCCAGATTCATCCAGGATTTGCTTAATGAACAACTTTTCCTCTTATAACGTATTAAAAATCCAGAAATAGATTCATCTGCCCCATTTTTTATTTAACACTGACTCAAGCGCCCAGTGGTAATTCTTCATTACCATAAGGAACACCAACAATTCAGCCCTGTAAATCCCATGTAGGTCTTTACCTTCCACTGCACTTTGCATCTACCTGTGCCTTAGAGAACAACTTTCATTCTGTGCTATTTTTTTACATTCCCCACTTTCGTTTTCATTTATGTTCCCCTCTCGGCTCATTCTGATTTGAGGTAACCAAGTTTTCTGGGTGACTTTTATAGACCCTTCAGAAACAGAACCACGCTTCCCATCCACTGCCCTTCAAAAGATGCTCTATAGCTTAAGATCTGTTTGACCCCACAGTCCCCTTGCACAGCAGTGGCAGCTCTGACAACACAGAGTGAGAGGGAAACACAAGAAGTAGAATATCTCAGAAGCTGTTGCATTGAATCCTAAGGGAAATTTACCACATCATCCCAGCTGCCTTGCAGTTAAGGAGCTTTTTCTCGGGTATCAGTTAAGAAGCTTTTTCTTGGGTATTATGATTAAAACATTAATTCCTTCAAGCCTGCCCCCTCTCTCTCTACAGGAGGTACGTCTTTATTAAAACATTAAGACTATCCATGTGGGTAGATTCTGACTTCGGGCTTCAGTAATGCCACCAGCTACTTCTGAGTTCACACCATGGCAAGTAAGAGCAGAAGTTGGTTTTGCAGTTCAGTTACACTCTGCCTGTTTCCTGCTGTAAAGGGACATTTGTGTTTCCTCCTCTGTAAACTCGGCTTTCAGCAGTGAGTTCCCAGCTCTAAGAACCAGTGCTGGCCCTTCATCTGAACCCACTGGAAATTATTTAGTGCCTTATTACTTGGTAACATTTAAAGCTCAACCACACCTTCTACATACACAGCTTTTCCTCTGACTGCATGAAGGTACTAGTTTTTTCTGGACCAACCTAATGTATCTCCACAATTGCAATTTCAGACAGAAGAAATTTCTGAGAAGAGGTTTCTGCTTTCTCACTCCAATAAAAAAAAAAAAAAAAAAAAACTAGCTGAAACCACTGTGATAACAGTCAAGTGCAGCAGTCATTAATCTGGATAAAGTGATTTTTCATGTAAATTGCCTCCTCTCTCCTTAAAGTTTCAGGGCCAAAAAAAAAATACATCACTGAAACAAATGTCTGCTAGGACAAATGAGCCGACTGAAATACAGAAGAGAGCAATCAGGGCTAAGGCAAGAGCATTCAAAAAAGAACTGAGCACAGAGCTGCTCACAAAAAAGATATCCTGAAGATATTACCCTGCCAGTTTGCATGTCCCTTTCATAGTTTCAAAACAAGGCAGCCTACTTTTCTGCTTTCCATATAAATCCTGGAAGGAATTTTGCCTCTGAGCTCACACACAAACTCCCTTCACTTCAGGAAAACATGCTCAAATTATGTAGGTTATTTTTAAGTCACTTGCTGACTTGAGTTTGGGCATAAAATACCTGTGTGTTCAGAACCACCAAAACCTCTGCATTTATCTAGGACTATAAGTGTCCAATTTTTCTCCTAGGGAAATACAAGTGTTCATTTGTAATCAATAACAACATTTGAATTCAAATTGCACTGAATGTTCAAAAACAGGTCCAGAACTGCATTTCTTGACTATCTTTATCTGACAAAGCACATGCCATAACAAGATATCTTCCCTGTCTCAGCCTGGCAAAGCTAGGTTTTCAACTCTCAGCATTCCCTTGAACATTTAAAAAACTTCATGTAAGTGCATAGGTCCAAACATCTCCAGGTACCAAGTATTAAAAGCGTGTGCTCCAAGGCTTCCCTCGTTTTTCCTGCTGCTCAAGCTAGAGATTCCTTGGGCAGCAAAAGGCAAAACGTTGCATTTGTGTTAGCTCAGCTGTCACTCTGAGGTACCTGCACTGCCTCTGGACTCCAAGGGCTCAGCAGGGATGACACAGCCTGTGCAGAGGCTGCTGACTGTGAGTCACACCAGCACAACAGCAGACGAGGCTCAGAGCCTGGGAGAGCAGCTCAGCAGGGGCCACGCTTTGCTGGGGTGGTGTCAGTGCAAGTGGGTGCCTGGAGGAAAGGCAGTGCTCAGGAGGTGGGAAAGGAGAAGGACACAGGATGAGTTTGGAAAACGGGTTATGCAAGCAGGAACACTGGAAACAGCAACCAGCAGTGAGTGGGAAAGAAGAGCAAGGAGAGGCTGAAAGAATGGCAGTGAGATTAACTCAAAATAATCCTCAAGAGCCATTAGCCTACAAGGTAGAGCCTTGGCCTGGGACTCAGGAAATGGGAATTTTATTCTTGACTCACGTGTGGACACGCTGGGTTACCTTGGTTGGGCCAGTTTAATTTTTTGTGCCTCAGCTTCTGTTTCTGTGGCATTATGCTCTTTCCATCATGTTCTGATCTCAAAAGAGGAAAAGCCATATTTAAGAAGGAATAGTTATTATAATCCACTCAGAATTAAGGCACCAGAGGTGAGAAGCATCTCTTCATTATTTAAAAGGTGCCATATTTCTCTGTCTGCAGAAGAACACAATGCCCCTCTAGGAATTCCTTTTCTTTTGTACTTTAGAGCAGAAGATTATTATGGAAAATGATTAAGCACCCACACAGTTAAAATGACAGAGTATTTTCATTACTGATTGGCAACTCCTCTGCTGCCCTAATTTAGGTTCCACATGTCTTCATGCATTCAAATCAGTAAAAACAAAAGCTAAACTTACTTGACATTTGCAGCCAAAAACTAAAGTCATGTCAGAACATCAAAAATCTCCCAATTCCTGGCCTTGCTTCTAAATACAAAAGAAAAAAAAATGCAGCCTGCTGCAAAGTGTTCACATATACTTAAAAGAATTATGGTGACCAGCGAGTATTGGAACAATATCGAATTGAAATTCTGAAACTCCACTTACAAAGTCTCGACCCCAAGACCTGAAGACAGAACTCCCCACCAAGGTTGAATAGTATCTGGATAATCAGGTGGTCTACAGGCAAAGCAGCTTGGAAACAGATGAGGAAGCTGGAAATGACCTGAGAGAGAGGCCTGCCAACTCGAGAATTGGACTTACACTCCATCCCTACTAACCTGCAAAGGTACATCTGGAAATGAGATGAAATCCAACATGTCACAAAACAAAAATGCCAGAGAAAATTTTGCAAAATAAATGTCACCCCTGAATTTTCTCATCTTTCAGCCAGCTTTTATTCAGGATTAACTACTTTGTTGTTCTTGTTTCCAATCAAGGTGAAGAATGTGTTCTCCCAATACTCTAAATTTATGCTTCCTCACTCTCCCACAAGGAAACACGTGGTTCATCCAGGCCATGATTCAAATACAGAGACTATTTTTACTGCTGAATATTTTCAGTCATATACTCTATTTTGATGTTTTACAGAGGCACTGATGAGTAAAAACTGCTGCTGCATTAAAAACAGGTGAATGCTGAGACAACTGACTGATGAACCTGAATGAAATGCACAAATAGATCAAAACTGTGCCTGACTTCAGTCCTTTAACATCTACATGGGTTACAAAACAAGGGCTTTACACATTCAGTTCCTCCAAATTAATTTCAAAGGTACACATGATACAGACCTACATCTTCAGATATATTCACCCAGTAGAAGGCCATTTCCATAAGAGCAAAGCATTTAAATTCAATTTATAATTCCTTCTAACATAGAGCAAAACATGCAAGATCAGCATTTACTGGGAGATAAGAACAGCACAAAAGCTAAAGGAAAAGAACAAAGTATGTACTACCTCTTTTTTGCACATGTATCAAAATATTGATATGTAAAAAGTTAAAGTGGCCAATTATCTTTGTGTCAGCTGGAGCTGTCAGCAAATTCCATGAAAGCTACACTTTTCTACTGTGCACATTTTGAACCACAATCAGAACCACACAAGATGATTCTCAACCCCAAGCTGTACCCATTCCAAGCCTTTGGAATTTTAGCTAGTAGTAAATAGCATAAGCAGCTCTCAAATACTGATACAAATTTCTGGAGTCCTTTTCAAGAAAATACCTAGCTAAAAGAAAAAGCCCAAGACTTACCATGCACCATAAAAATATCAAAACTACTCCGAGTGACCAAAGTCTGTCATTGTCTTGGTCTCTAACATGGACAAAGGAACTGGAAGTCCCAAAATTACTTAAACCATGTTTAAATCAGATTCAGAGTTCGTGGAATCAAATGGAAAAAAATAGTAAGTATTTGGTTAAATGCTGGACTAGATCAGAGGCCTGATCAAAATACTTCTGAGTCTGCAAGATGAAGACAGATGTTTTGGCTGAGGAGAACTGGACATTTCAAGATGTGCTGTGAATGAGAAAAGAACCAAACACTCACATTATTATAAATAAATAGTGGAAGAGGGAGAACAATAACATCCACCAAACAGAATAGTTTGTCTCTCATCTCACTCCCACCACACCGGCAGGCTGGAATGCTGTTATGCCACAAGATTATTCAAGTCCTCAGGAGCTGTGTCTTGGCTCTGTCCTCCCCCTCCTTTTCCCTATATTTTAGCTGACTGTATCACGCTCTCTATTGCCATTCATTTAAATGTTTTTCCATGGTCACCTTTCTCTTGTACATTCAAACTGTTCTCCTTGATCAGTGGTCCATCCCCATCTCTAAGTCTCACGACTCAACACATGCCATAAAAAGCACAATCAAATCACTTTCTCCCATCCTCCCCACATTTTCTCTGTGCTCAAAACATGCATCTGAGCAAAAGCTCCTGCCACTCATTCAGAAGTGACCTTTGTGGTGATTGCAGATGGCAACACTATTCAGACACCAAAAGCACTGCCCACATGCAGACAGAGAAGTCAGTGTCATATAAGGAGCAGTGACTGGGAAAACCATCCTCCACCTTTCAAATGAGCACACTGCAAATACACAGCCTGGCACGCTGAGCACAAAAGCATCAAGTAACTCAGAATGCCACTCCAAGTCAAATAACGTCAGTGACCAGCAAGTGGCCCAAACAAATCCCCCAAGAGGCAGAAACTTCTGACACAACACACACATCGTCCCACCAATATTCTTTGAAATGGAACAGGAACGTCTTTGCGCAGGTGCACATGGAGGTTGCACGAGTAACGTCTGCAGATCTCTTAGGACTTAAAACAACACCAAGGCACACAACAGCTTTCTTCTCCTTCTCCCCCTCCACTCAAAGGCCTGAAAATTCTCTGGGCTGAAGGTCAACAGTTCACAACTTGTTCTCCCTCATGAATGTCAACTCACTGGCAGGTTTACTTATCTTCAGGAAAAGGGAGGGAAGAGCAGCTGCACAGACACTTGCTTAACTTGTTCCAGTATCTTTTTGTAAATATATATATATTACAAACTTTATCAGTTTATTTCCAATTGAACCAGAATGCAGAATGCTTATGTAACAGGCTTCTTGCTTTGTTTATCACAGATGACCTGTTAAAGAACTCTATGAACCACAGCACGCTGGGTCTGTATTTTGCCTTGCAGAGACTGACCTTCTCCATGAGGATTATCAACAGGCAACAGTCATAAACTCTTAACATCAGCAAGGGAAGTTGTCTTCTTCCACTTGATTAGGAACTTTTCACTCTGTGTTCCCTTCCTCACAGAGAAAGCTGTAGCTGATTCTGTACAGTGCTTTATCCTGCAAACAAAGCCACTGACATACAAAACAGGGCATTCACTTCTGAAAGAACGAGCAGCAACTTGGTTTTGACATTCAGCCATGTACCTTCTACAATGAATTCTATTCACTCTCTGTACTACAGCAGCACCTAGAAGCCCTGACTGATAACAAAGCACTCACTACGTCAAGAAAAGCCATTACTTCCCAAAGTCTTCAAGCTATATAAGCACAACAAAGGAGAGAAAAATGCAATTCTCACCTTTCAAAGAAGAAGATCAGATGCAGATATGAAACACCATATCAGGACCAGGAACAAACTGACATACTCCTTTCTTTATTCACTTTATCACCCAAATCATTGTGTTCCAAAAGTATGTTCCCATTACAGGCATGAAAAATTGAAAACAATTCAAAATACCCAATTCACATTTATTTGTTATATAATTTGTTGGACTCCTCTGCAATGAACTGCAGTTACATCACACACAGTCACAACATGTCCAGTCCAGTAAACCTCATGTAAGGCACATATTGGCTGTGATTAATCAAGGAACAGACTTATTCAGAAGAGATGATTACTGAAGCAAGAGAACATGTTTATTTGGTACACAGATTTTGCAGAAATCACAAATAGAAACCTCAGACAGGACTGTCAAAGAAAGCACGAGAAACTGTTCAGTGCATATAAAAGAGAAGCTTTGGTATCCAGAAAGTGGCATTGAGAACAGTCAATAAATATCAACTTAGATAATTAAAAGTGTAAGAGGTTACAGCCTGGAACAGTATATTTCCATGAAGAACCACAACTAACACATGGATTAAAAAAAAAAAAAATAAAAATAATAAAAAAAATAATTTTACAACGTTAATTCTACATATTTTGTAGAAGACCCATTAGATTATTCTTTTGGTATCTATACTTAAAATCAATGTCATAGTCTGCTCAAGTTTCTCATCTACTGAATAGAAAAATAAAATACTCTTGAAAGAGAAGCTAAGAACTACAACTGCTGTAAAACCAAGGCTGAAGAAACCCATGCAGCCCATATTATCACCTTAATTCTTCTATTTCATGTGTAAGATGATACATCATTAGAAGGTCTTCCTGTCCTATTTCCTAAGAGCCTTTCTCTGAGCATTTTATAATTCTCCAAGGCCTCTTCCTTGGCAAGCCTGCTTTAAAAATTAAACCACTGTTTAGCAACAGTAGGTCTCATTAAAAGGTGCATTTACTACACAGTAGAATTCTCTATAGTTAGAACTTGAAATACGTTAAATACCACAGCAAATGTAAGTACTGTGGGTGGTAAACATCTAGTTTAATGGCATCCACTGTACTTGTGTGGAAAAAAAACAGTTTTATAAATAGCTTCCAAAATTTTGCTACTAATAGGCAAACACATCTCATTTTACATTTTTTCCTTTCTCCCACAAGTAATAGGCCTATGTTCTCTGTCAAACCCCCACCTGGAACAAGTGCTGCGGGCATACTGTGAACAGCAACTCAGCTGGGCTGCAAAACAGAAGTGAGAACTTACCTGAACTTGTCAGGAGCATTCTGGTCAGCCTTTTAGGCTGGAGAACTTGTAAAATCTTTCTGGTTAGATTTTGATGTCTTCCTATTCTAAGGCAGATGGAACACAAGAGCTACTTTGGATTAATCTGTCCTCAACAGCTACAATGGACTTCTGCCCTTTGATAGGAACCTTTTGATTGATTCTAAGAGCTCTTAGAAGTTTTCCTTCCCTAAGCAGTAGCTTCAGAAACTTCAGCTTTGGTTTGGAAGTTAATGATAACTTATGCAGGTCTGCATCCCTGCAAATCTATAATGAACTGATGAACATAATAGATGAAAAACACTGCTCCTTTCACAGTTTAATCAAGACAAAGCTAGTTCAAAAGAGCCTCATTTTCCCCTTTTGCCAGCCTTCTAAATTATATTGCTTCTTTTCTTTTAATCCTAATATTCTGCTTAAAAAGTGTGTATGCATCTAGTTATGTTCCCTGGCATGTCTTTGTGACACAATTTTCTGAGCTGCTGGGAGCTCACAACCGCAGTAAAAGTTGGCAGGTGCAACATTTCATGATGTTAACAAAAACCACCAATCTCAGACCATTTCTTCAGACTGAATTTATACACCAGGAAGCCATTAAGCAGTCAGTTTCTTCCTCAAAGACTTCTCAGAAGAACAAGAAAATGTAAATCTGTCTTCAGTTGCATTGCATCAAGGTAGAATGTCTGTAATTCCATCCGTGGCTAAGAAAGTCAATTCCTGTGGCAAGAACCCAGGAAACAATTTTTAAAATATTACAGCTTTTTATGCATAGTGGTCCTTTGGGATTTAGGAAAAATACCTGCAGTTTCCAACTATTGTGTTAATTATGGGCAGTTCCCCTCTAGTGCCTTTGAGCTACACAATCCAAAGGTGTCCATCCACATCCATGATGTCATGATTCCAGGGGTCTAGTGAGGAGTTTGACAGAGGGCCATGGAGTGTCCTGCCCCACATCCAATTAAGATCTGTTTTGCACAGCCAAGAGCTTTGACTGCTTTTGGTACACAAATGTTTGCTTCTGTGCCATCACCACACATCCCGTGTTCATTCCATCCCCAAGAGAAGCACTGGCCACCTGAAAGAGAGGACAGAAAATACAGAATAAACACCACAGAAACGCAACAGCTTTGCTTAGTTTTGAGGACTTGCCAAGTAATTTTCTGCTTAGGTTCTAAGAAATTCTGCTAAGGTGGGAAAAATATTCTGGTTTTCTTGAAAATGTAAATAAACCCAAATGACTGATTCTCCATCCTGTTCCATATTGTTAGCAACAGAAGAGAGATCAAAATAACAAAGACACTTGAAAATCACTTAGTGAATGTTCAGTATTTATGCAGAGCCCACAGAAATCTCTCTGCATCTTAAGAGCCCTCCCTGAAATTATATAGAACCCCCATCTTTCAAGTTTCCCCTAGTAAGCAGAAGTATGATAAATCAAGAGCAGTGACTTTATTCATTCACAGCACGATCTGCAGGATTGGGAAACACAGAGCCACAGTTTAGCCACATGCATTTCATTCCTAGCTTCAAATTCACATCACCCTTTTATTTTAAATACAAGTCTTCAACAGCCTTCCCTACTCTTAATCATCCTACCTCTTCTGCTTGCTTTGACATCCTTTCACTGCTTTTAGTTTTCTTATTTCCCCTCATTATTATTTATTTTTGTAGTATCTACTCTTTCATATCCCAAATAATAATTCATGTATTATTATTACCCCATAGTACACTTTATTGAAGCACATGCAGATTTTGTTCTATAAATGGCTGACATAATAAAAAATCCACCAAAACCTCCTTATTCTGAACTACAAGTGCTATTTCTTCCCTATTTTCTATTCTTTATTTGGCTGCCAGAGACTGTGTCTATGACTTTCTGTACTAAAAAAGAAAGCCATCCTGCCATATAATCATGTTTGTGATGCCATTGTTATTTTTGAAAAGCAGCAGGTAATAACAGCAGGAAGTAGCATTCTGGATTCCAAATAATGAGAAGAAAAGTGCCAAAATTCACAGACTCTAATCCCAGTCACAATTTTACTTTTCAAAATTCAGAAACAAATTATTGCAAAGCTAGCAAGACCATCTTCCCTGCAAATCCTGTAACATTTCACTGTTATCTGCTCTCTTTATATCATTAGTATATTGATGTTCTCCTCTTGTGCAATGAAGTGTAAACATTACTGAGGCCAGATGTAACTAAGCAATGACATTTCATTTCCCTGACAATCTTTAAGGCAATGGAACACAACAAAGCACCACCAGAACATCCCAGTAGCCAAGGCACATCTCAGCTGACATACAAGTTCTGTCCCTCTTATCTCAGGAGGCACCAGATGTTCTCATGTTTGTGTATGTGCAATATTGACAGCCCAACCTACATCCCAAATGCACTCACATGTGCTGCCAAAAAGTGCCAAAATCTGAGTGGGCAACATATTCCATTTACACATCAACAAAGTGTCCTACAGGTTAATGGGATTTTGCTTTTTGGTAAGGTTCCAGGAAAAAATGTTACTGTAAATAGTAAAAAGCAGAAAAAAAGACACCTCAAGCCCATACTAGAGACATATCTCAGACTAATCATTCAAGGAAGCTGCACCTAAGAAAATACTTTTTTTGGCACAGTTAATATGTGAACCCTGCAGAATGAGCCAAGCTTGCAAATGTAATTGAAAGAGAATGCAACATGTCCTAACTTTAATAAGATCACTGTGGTAACTTTTTGTGACTAGACACCAGCAATTACTACAACAATTGACATGCTTCTATGAAGACTCAATACATGTGTTTAAAGGGTTTCTTGTTTTTTTCATCCTGTCCCATCAGGACAAGAGAGAGGAAACCAGGTCACTTTGTATTACAAACTGCTCAGTGGAATATTATTGGTATAATAAATAGTCAAAGAAACAGTGCATTAGGACATTAACTTTTCAAACTGATAAATATATCCAGTGAAACACCTTTTGAAAAAACATAATAAAAAAATTTACAAGCTAGGAACCCCCCAGACAAGAACATCTTCTCTAAAATAATGATCTTTTCCAGCCTTTACTGCTCCAAGCATGTTGAAAGGCCACCAAAATAGATTTTTCTACATGATTCCAGGGATCTCTAAGTTTACCAAATGGGACAAGAGT